TGCCTCAACAGTGCAGCTTCCAGCCTGGAATTTGTTAACTCCTAGGTATCGTTGTGCTGAGAAATCAAACGTAAGCATTAAGCATAGATCAACTTCCAATCCATGCAGAATTCATCCAGAATTTTTCATCACTTCAGGATGAACAAGGATTCAACGACATCAAGTAAAAAGGGCAGATGATGGGAGAACGCTGCCCAGAAAGGAGTAATCTCTTTGACATATGAACCTCTCTCAGTGATTTTGTAAGAATAACAGAGATCTTATATGCAAACAATGAGAAACAGGGAAGAAACAAAGAAATGCCTATTTGTCTCACATTTTGATCAGCAAATGCCTCCATTTATGAAGCTAGTTAACTGGTTATGTTTCCAGACTGTACCCAGTTTTTAAGCAAGCCAAGGTATAAGAACAGTTCTAACTGGAAGGACAAACCATGATCTATTAACACACACATAATTCAGTAATCTTTCAGAAGAGGGTCTGAAAACTTGAGCCCTTAAGGAAAGGCAGTCAAAACATTTGACATCTTTTCTTACAAGGTAATCTTTAGCATTTTCTCACTCCAAGACCTCCCAAATATATGTGATGTACCTGACTGAGAGAGATATTGTTCTTCCCCTCCTTTTTTTTGTTTTAATAAAGGCTATTTAAAAAGCAGAGCTCTATACATATGTTTACAGTACCTTGTCAGGGAAAAAAATTCCCTTATGCTGATGCTCTGAAGATGGCACCCATCAATGTTACTATATGTTTTTCTTCTACTCTTAACCCAAAGCTCAGAATTGCTTAGAGCACAAAAATGAACTGAAGAGGACAGTCCAGCTGGAATTTTCATTGCTTTTGATGTCACCAGTATAGCAGTTTGGAATGCCAGTGGAGGAAGGGAGAAGACAGGAAACAGCAACTGACGTAGAGGGGCCATTATTTTCAAAGGAGAGAGAGAGATTTTAGGACAAAGATGACTCAGTGGAACACAGTAGGAGTTTGAGGGAGAGGAGATGTATTTCTCTATGTCATTCCCAGCCCATTATTTTGTTCCCAAAGTCTTCTGAGGATGGCCATATGATATTGCATCAGCAACATTTTCACCCATCTGTCATGTTCTCCAAGAGCAGATATACAGACAGATTAGGATTTTCTGACCACTTCACCCTATCAGGAGTTAGTAAATATGTTTGGAAATAGTTTTGCCAAAAAGTTCCAATGAAAAGATTAAATTCTCCATAGCAAGTAAAAATCAAAGGTTTCTTTTACATACACCTCTGTTTGGTGAAAACTTTCTCAACTTTATATTAGAAAGAGGTGTCAAGCATATTTTAAGTCAATTTCTCACATAGTTTGACTGATACCATGCTTATGCTGAATTTTTCATTTTCAGCTATACTTAATATTTAACACAGTCTTAGGCATATGAGAAAGTGAATAAGATGTGTCTCAGTTTTTGCAAGTATCAGATGTTGGACTAAAGTTCAAGGCAATGCATTTCGGGAAGTTGAAAAACTGTGGAAGCACAGAACATGAGAGGTGAGGCTCCCCTGGACCAAATTTATGTTTAAAACAAACATCAAATGACTGTGCCTGGGTGCAAAGAAAGGTCATAAACCATTTTATTGCTATTGTTTAGTTTCATTTGCTGAGGTCTTAAAGCAAAGTTGATATTATCAGGTTAAATAAATTTAAACCAAATATTAAAAAGACACCTGTTATTCCTCTCTTTGATTGCCTTTCATTTGTTTTACAGCTCAATTGAAACTGTAGTGGCCCAGAGAAAGAAATGAGACAGAAGTCCACTGATCAGTTAAAAGGCTATATGGGCAACTGGCTTCTAGCCCTTGCTCCAGTGAACAGTTTCATACCTGATTATAAAGTATCTAGGTGGCTATGATGTGCTGCTGAGGACTTAAGGAGCTCTGTCCCAAATCAAGCAAAAAATGCATGAAGACTGGGTCTTCTGTAATCAGTCTGAGTTCTTCCAACAGCTGAGTACAGCAGACTGACAATTGCTACACTCAGACTATTTTTTTATGAAGATGGGAGGCTTAGGCACTATCTCTGAACCATTCTCTTGTGTTGAGTCACCTGTATGAATTAACAATATGAATCCCAAAGGTGTATTGGCATTCCTTCAGTTCCACATAGCCCACACAGAAGTTATTCTGCATGTGTCTGCCAACAAATGTATAGGAAGCTCTGGGTTTTGAAGGTCCACTTGTTTTACTTGCATGCCTACTAAGACAGTCAGTTATACAAATCCTTCTAGTGAATCTAAACTTGTTTTCACTTCTAGACTTGTTTTCACTTTCAGACTTGTTTTCACTTCTAGAAACGTACATTTAGAACATGTAGTCTACTGCTTGTTTCATGCGTTCAGGGCAAAGATTTCACTGACATGATGTTAAGTATATCTGATGAATTTGCTCCAAGATAGCTTTATTTAAGAATAATTCACTAGAATTGGGCACTCACTCATGTCTTATATCTTCCTGATGTACTTTATTCAAGCAGAGGCTTGGCTGTGTAAGCTGTTTTAATTAACACTTTAATCTAAGCCTTCACCATCTGCTCTCCTTTATAATTACAAAAGTAAAGGGAATCTCATTCTCGGTAGTATCATTAAAATTCAAGATATTAAAGAAACGACATAAATGCATGCCATTTTATTCATTCCAAGGGCATTCATTTGCTGTGTTCCTTTTTACCGTTTTTGTCTCATCTAGGACTCAAAGGACAGAGCAGTGCTAAATGGTGCCAAAATATTTCCTTGACTTTGCTCTTGGGACTGCCTTTGAAATCATGGATGATTCACATGAGCTTCTGAATCGTAGAAAAGGAACACGTTGTGTAGCAATATCATTCTAGGCAAATAAAAATTTGCTTTCAGAAAATTCAATTGATTTTTTCTATCTTTTTCTCTATCAAATTCTCTAGATTTATCTGTTAAGAGGGGAAAAGAATATTCATCAAGAACATAAAAATATAGGCCACACTAACAAAAGATGCAAAAAATGAATGACAGAAGTAAACAAGATTTCTTGAAGCATTTTTTGAGTTATTGCAGCCATGTTATTGAAAGGATTGTATTTGACCTTGATCAACTAAAAACAAGATCTGAAGAACTTCTAAAACCTTCCCAATTTTGAGCCACCACATAGAATTTACTGGCACCATTTTGTTCTCTAGTGTTTATGTGAGCTCTTACAGGATGTTATTTTAGAAGCAGTTGGACATTTTACAGTGTGAATTTTTCCCTGCAGGTTTTTTGTGTGTGTATAACTTCTGTTTGCCTGAGAGTACACAAATATTTTGAAGATAATACAGGGATGCGATATACTTAGATCTTTCATGCTACTAAATGATGCATTCTATGCTCTGAAGATTACAAAGAGGCAATGAAATGAAGCTGTGGCTGTAGGAATTTGGATTTAGATGCAATAATAGAAATATAAGTTATCAGTTATGTACTTGTGATCCCTGTGCATTGCACAAGGAGAATTAGGCAATTCAGAAAATATCCCCAAATCCAGCATGTTGATGAGGGAACTGTTTAAAGTTAATAACAGAATGAACACAGTGTCTTTCTCCACAGCATAAGGCACCTGAGAGTCTGCAGAAGAGCAATGCATTTTTCCCCCCTCCTTTATTTTGCCTCCTTTTTTTTTTTCTTTTTCAAGAGGGGTTGCTAAAAGTGCCAGCACTGCTCCTGAATACCTCTCCCATAGACACAGTTGAAGAACTGATTCAGTGATTCTGAGACAAGGAAGGCTGAAATCGTGGGACTCACTGCCCTAAATCATTTGCTGAGCAGTGGGACTTCTGGGTTCTCATCTCTGCTAAAGCTTCTCTGTTCTTTGTTGACTCTAAAGCTGTCTAGCATATAATTGTCTTAGAGATCACAGACCTAGGGCTATTCTTGCTGCTTGTCCTCATGGCTCCACGAATTTTGCATTATCTTCTGGTAATACATATGATGTACCTATGGAAATACCTTGTCTTTGCAGCTGTGAGACTTTGTTGCTTTAATGGGCAAAGGGTACTTTCCTCATCTCTAACGAGTGTGCAAGCCACAGGTTCATGACAGAAGGATGCCTACAGACACCACTGTCTTAGAGAAAACTGGACATAGCTTGGGACTTTACTGCTACACTTTCTAGTTTCAGCATCCCGACTCAGCTTAGCCAAGAGATATTTTAGCAGATGCAGAACTTCAGCTGCAGCATATCTAGAACCTGCAATTTCTCTGGGAGCTGACTGGTGAATTTCAGACGTTTTTAAGTTCAGTTAGCAACTAAGCAGATGTTTTCTCATTTGTAATTTTGAAGCTTGACACCTGAGATTCATCTATCTACTGTATCTGGCACCAAGGGGCTTTTCTGTATGTTCTCATTATTGCAATTACCATTGAAGTTGATGATAGCTGCCCTTTTCTGATTGCCAAATTCAATTCCTGCTAGCAGGCTTTTAATTAATTCTGATAATCAGTAGACCAATCATCAGAGAAAGGCAAAAGGGGCTCATAAGATTTAATTTTGCCCATACTTCCTCCTACTGAAAATTATGACTCAGTTGGAAAGAGAAGGCAAATATGTAGCACTGAATGATTCATTACAAATATTTCAAAACTCTTGACAGCATTTATCATTAAAGCTTTAGAAATGTGTTTCCTGGAGAGAATCCTGTAGTTTAGATCTTCCAGTGTGGGCATGCTGTTTCACCCAAACCGAAAGTGGGCTACAGCAGCTTCAAATAAAGTTTATAGTCTTCGAAATTTCTGCCTTCCTGTGAGATAATCTCAAGAAAGTTTGGATTTATGTCCATGTAGGCTTTTAGAACTGGCAAATAAATACTGTGTGCTTTTTTGTAGATGCAACCTAAACACAATTCTTGGGGAATTTGGTAGTTGGGTGTTAGTCAAATATCAGAAAAGTTCTTGAGAACTAAGAGAGGGTAGTATATTTTTTATTAGACTACCTTGAATAAATAGAAAAAAAAAGGGGAAAATCTTAATATCCAGAAACTTTTATTTGTGTATGGAGCAGAAGGAACAAATTTTAAAGCTTAACAGAAAGTTGAGTTCTTCCTCCTGTGCAAACCAAAAATAAGCATATTTACACTTGATCATTTTGCTATGACTGCTGAAGCTTTTCTGCCTGAATCTCATTCAACCAGAAGAACAGTAGATCTCTTCAAGATGATTACATGTTGCACCAGTCAAAATCTGCAGCAGCTGAAACAAAGGAGTGATCAAGCAAGTTCATTTAAAAGGAAAAACTGAAGCAGAAAATGTTTAATCTTAGATCACAAAAAATGTAATTAAGGTACAATCTGAATACCAATAAGCATATAGTGTCCCAGGCCCTACCTGCAATCTCTTCTCAGACACAAAAATGTAGGTGACAACCTCTTTACAAGCTCCTGGTGTCAGGGAGCTCATCCAGCAAAAGCTGCCTCTGCTGTGCATCAGCTTAATTTCAACATCCATACTATTCAACAAAGTTGTATAGTGTGGGTGTTCAGATGCGTCCTCACAAAGAGTGTTTAACCGAGATAGTCATGCATGGCTCAGAGCTCTCTTTTACAGCATGGAGTGGCACAGTCATACCTCCTTGGCACAGTTACATGCTATGAATTCAGAAGATAAGCAGTGAGGGAGAGATGCAGTTTGTGTTAGAGTCACGTGAGTAACTGTCTATGCTGGTAAATTAAACATGGCTGAGACCTTTGTTAAACACGAAAGTCAACTTGGTGTGAGATGCCTCTCTTGGTAAATTCACTGCCACAGACTCCCAACAAGACAGCTACACCCCACCTGCAAGTTGGTGTTCACAGAATATAACCCCATGCTGGGTACCTGCAAGTCTCTCTCACCTGCCACAGCTGACGTTGGGCCAATGATGCCACTCCCTACTGACTCAACTGCTGATGATGCTTGAATCAGACACCCACCCACCAATCCTCAGACGCAACCCTCACCTCTCAGTAGGCTCCACATGGCCCAGTTCAGATCCTAAGCTTGGGAGATCATCACGTCCAGCCTTTATCCCAGAACTGCCAAGTCCACCACTAAACCATGTCACTAAGGTTCTCATCTACATGTTTTTTAACACTTCCAGGGATGGTGATTACACCACTTCCCTGGGAAGCCTGTCCCAGTAACTTGTCACCATTGCTAAGTTCCAAGCTGTAGGAAAGAAAATATCACATTCATAAAGAACTAATGCTAGTTACACATAGCACAGAGTGTGGACCAAAGTAATGCCAGTTAATAGGTTCCAGGGTCACTTAGGACAGCCATAAGGGCTGCTGCAGAGATACCACACTGTCATTCACTCCCAGTGATGTTCAGTAAGGCTATGCTGCTTACTCTGGCAATGAATAGTATGAGTTAAAACTGGTGCAAAATAACTGGCTCTGGAGTGATCACTTACTGGCATAAACCCCAATGACACTGTAGACTTAATTCTAAGGAAAAAGCGCTTGTTGCAAATAATTTGCAAAGTTATATAATTTCTCTTGGGAATACTATGCAGCACAGAAAACTGACATGCTTTCCTTCACCTGACTGCATAAAAAAATATATCATATAAAAAAAGAGAAACTTGAATAATGAATGGCTTAAGCCACCACAGAAAAAAATAGACACATGTATGGGAAATTGAGAGTTTGACTATGCTTTTCTGTAGTGTTTCTATTGAGATTAATTATGGTGGTTAGCATATGACTAACTCTCTCATTCTTTTTCTTGGGAAAATCATATACCTTATTACCATACAGTATGTCTGTGATCGTGACTTCTAAAGCTGGAAGAAAATACAAAAGAGACCTTTCTTAATCATCACTTGGTGTTAACACAAAGGCACCAGAAGGAGCAGATGAAACAAACCATTTAAGTTAATATACACTTGTCAAGCAAGAAACAGTATGATGACATGACTCCAGTCTCTCAAAGGAAAGAAATTTTTTTGTTCAGTGAAAGCTGATATCTCAGTAAGCCACCCAGTACAAAAATAGGAAATGAAGTTAAGAAATGTAAAGCTCTTCCATTCCTCTAATCTCTTCTCTTTGCACTAATAAATTATTATGTTTAATGTTATGGGATTTTACAGAACAGAAAGCAAGCCATAGCTTGTCATCAAAGCTTGACAAAACCAGAACTTCTCTTTTATAGTCAACATACAACGACAATTTTCATAGAACTGTTACAGGTGTCAGCTCCCTATAAATACTTGTGTTCTATTATAGGTAAGTCATACTCAGAGGACAGGAACAATTGAATGAAAACCTACCCCTTACTAAACAAAATAACAGTCAATGGAGTGCCAGCAATGTCATGTAGAAGATTCTGGATGACACATGTAAATCCCATACCTCTGTGAGAGAAGGTACTGTTAGTCTTCTTGCCTCACTGAGGGTGAGCATAAGGGAAAGCTTTGAGCGTTCTCATGGAAATCTAGCATTATGGTTTGTTCCTAGGTAACATACTTTCAGCATGGTAATATCAGCAATAAATCTGGATATATAAACATACTAATAGAAAATTAATAAAATACAGAAAAATACAATGAGTGTAAGTTGCAACATAAGATGTATTATGACAATTGCAGATGGTGCATAACTCATAAAAATGTCATATTAATGATGTCTGGAAGTTTGTTCAAATCCTGTTGCAGTCTTGACAATCTGGTCAGTATCATACCTGATAGGAATAGTAACCTGGTTTTGATAAGCAATTGCTTTTTTATATTTGGGAATGTACCATGTTCCATATTGGTCCTAAGGGTCCTGTCTAAGTTACAGGCAAATATTCCTCCAGCAGCAATATGAATTAGGTTTTTGGTTTCTCTGAAGTCATTCTGCCATTACACAGAACATCACAAAACAAAACCAATACCTATACAACCCAATTTTCACTGAAGTACAGCCATGCAGTTATCATACACTTAGCCTAAACAGCAGGTACCTGAGGTCATATTATTCTTACAAGTGTCTTGTATTACTAAACGTTCATGGTTTCCCCATTTTACATCCATGAACACAGAGTAGATTACCTTTGTTATTCATGCATTTGGTCCCTTGAACTGGTAGCCATCCATATTCTATTAGATAAAATAATGAGGAGTGGACCATATTGGTAAATAGATTTTTATTTACTTTCCCTACTTATGGTGCAGTGATGAATAGATCCACTTAACAGACTACTTTCACTTCCTACCCCTAAGCTTTGATAAAATGGAGTTTACAATACTGGCACAAATAAAATAATTGGGTCCCTAACATAGCAGAATTCCCACTATTGATCCAATTAGTTTGTTTTTCATCATTTATAATAAAGATTTGCATGGTAACATAAGCAATGGTAGTGCCGGTATTGGAAACAAATTTGTAAACACCAGCATATATATCCCTGAAAATCTTCTGGAGTTTTTTCCAGGTGGTTAGGCTAATGGTCAAGGTATTGGTAGTTGCATCCTCTCCATTTATTATGTCCATAGTCTGACAATTATAGCTTGTTTGCTTAATGGTCCTAGCCTGGACACTTTTTTACTAGTGATTTCTAAGTTGATAGAATCCAATGTTCCTGTGCCCAATTCAACTGTTCTTAATGCCCTGGAAAGATTCCTAACTATGCAGGTTTTACAGTTTGCAGTCTGGATGTAGTGTGTGCAAGGTAAACGATATCCAAACCACTCATTACTTCAGTTGTGGTCATAATAAATTTCCACCCTTCAGAGGTACATGTCAAAGGACGTTCCCTGCCCTAAGGTTTGCTTGTTGTTTATTTTAGACAAGAGAATCCTTTAATCCTTTTTTTTTTTTTTTATGATCAAATGCACTGGTTATCACTATATTATCTGCTTGCTTCTTAGTAATTAAACAACCTCACCTTCTGGCATGCTGATGCAAGTCACATGCTTCAGTATGTCCAAATCATTCATGCAGCCATTCAGCAATCAAAGCAGAAAAAAAGCCTTGAGTCCTGAATGGTTAGGCAAATACCATCATTTCCTGGTGTGCTGCTACATGCCCTATAGTAACAAGATGAGAGTTGGCAATATCTTATATTTGCTTCTCTGTATATGAGATATATGGGGAATTTGCCCCATTTTCTAGCTATTGTGTAGCATTATGCCATACAGCATAGGAATCAGTATATATGGCCTGTGCCCTATTTCTAAGAGCTAATACCATGGCACAGAGCTCTGTTAATTGACTATAACCTCTTATTTGCTCAATTATTACAGGTTCTTTGGCTACAAATAAAGTAGCAGCCGTTCCTTGCCATTTACACTGTATTTTTTGAGCACTCCTGTCAGTAAACCAGAGGCCATCTGGTTGCTGGGTTAAATTCAGGCATCCTGGCTAGAAGAACAAGGAGGCTTCATGTATTCAATGTGTGTTTCTATATGTGCCATAACTTCAGTAATTTTATTCTCCTTAGTTAAGCCAGATACAATTTCATGATGATAGACCTACAGTACTCACCTTTGTACAGTGGCCTTACATGCTACACCTAAAGGTGCTGGTTTACCAACAAGCATGGGTTTAAAAATTGTTACTGGCAATGTATATGCTCCTTTCCTAGGTCAAGGGTTCAGTCACTGCCTGTCCTTTATAAGCTGCTGACAGCATATTATCAAGTGGAATGATCGCCGCCAAATAAACACATATACTGCACAACAGTGACCTCTTGTGGTAATTTTAATGTTTCTAGTTATTTAGGCAATACCGCACGGCCAATGGTTGGAGTGTTCAAAACATGCATTAAAGGAGTAAATGTACGTAGTGGAGTTGCTCCACTGCATCTGGTACATATCATAGAATTGTAGAACAGCAGATTGGACGGCACCCCAAGGATCATCTTCTTGGAGGACAAGTCTTACAAGAACCAGTGCAACTGCAGCGACCTGAACTGAGCTGGCTTTGGTGCCCAGTAACTACACCACACACCACATCCCGTGTCCTGGGTGACCACCATAATGGAGCCCAAAGTCACAGACTACGTGAACTTAGTGGACGTTTAGTATACATTTAAGAGCACTTTAAGGACATTTTACAGGTGCGTTCCACAGAGCAAGGAATGATACCTCTGTACTATATCAAAGGATGAGGAGTGGTGGTTAATTGGTGGTTAATTGGTGGTTAATAACTGGACAGGGTGGGACCTGAGCATGACATAAACAGTATGGAATAAAGGGTGGAGAATGTGCTGGTTTAGACTGGGATAGAGTTAATTTTCTTCATAGTAGCTAGTAATCCAGTGTTCTGGATTTGTGCTGAAAACTGTGTTGATAACACAGAGATGTTTTAGTTATTGCTAAGCAATGCTTACACAGAGCCAAGACCTTTTCTGCTCTTCTAGGCTAGGGGTGCACAAGGAGATGGGAGGAGCCACAGCTGGGACAGCTGATCCAAGCTGGCCAAAGGGTTATGCCATGCCATATGACGTCCATTGAGAGGAAAGCAGCTTACCTGATGTGTAAAAAATGCATACTGGTAACTGGTGCTAGCAAGGTTTTGCAACCTCTAACATAATGTAAAGGACTGGATAATTTTAATTGGGGTTGACAAATTCAAATTGGAGTTTTATACTGAACTTCTTCCTTGATAGGTGTCAGCTTCTTCTCCAAAGTAACATCTGATAGGACAAGAGGCCTCAGGCTGTGCCAGGGAAGGTTTAGATTGGACATTAGGAACAATTTCTTCACAGAGAGGCACTGGAACAGGCTGCCCAAGGAACTGGTAGAATCACCATCCCTGGAAGCATTCACAAACCATGTAGATGAGGCCCTCAGTGACATGGTTTAGTGGTGGCTTTGGCAGTCCTGGGGTAAAGGTTGGGCTTGATGATCTCAAAGGTCTTTTCCAACCAAGTTGATTCTATGATTCTATGTCATGTTCAGCATCTAAAGCTAGGGGAAGAAGAAGGAAGAGAGGACATTCAGAGTGATGGTGTTTGTCTTTCCAAGTAACCATTACACATGATGGAGCCCTGCTTCCTCAGGGATGGCTGAACACCTGCCTGCCAATGGGAAATAGTGAATAATTTCTCTTTGCTTGTATATGTGGCTGTTGTTTTACCTATTAAACTGTCTTTATCTTAACCCATGAGTTCTCTCACTTTTCTGATCCCCCCCCTCATCCCACTGGGGATGAGTGAGCAAGTGCCTTTGTAGTGCTTAGCTGCCAGCTGGGGTTACACCACGACAACTGCCAAGACAGGAAACATCTGTGTCCTTCCAGTTTGGGTCAAAAGGAAAACCCAGACAGCTCAGGGTCATAACCCACACAGCAGAGCACAATACACAGATGTCCTAAGCTCTGTAAATTACTAAGACCTAGGCAACTGCCTATGGACTCCCCCTGTGACACCAAAAACGGTCTTGTCCCTAATTTTGCAGAGACAAAAGGCCTGGTTCTGGCATTCATGACAAGACCAAACACACTGCTGCTGCTTTCCACCACCTTCAGAAGCTCTCAGGCCGCCCTGCACACCCACCCGAGCTCTTGAAGACACACTGCAGGTATGAGAAAAAAAGAAGACCTCAAGCCTTCCGCGGACGCCCCTCAGTATCCCCTGCGGTGCGGGCACCAGACATCCCCTTACTCGGGACAGACCCCACTCCTCCGCCACCGGCACTGGGACGAGCGGGCAGCTCGCAGCTGCGCCTCCCGTGGGCGGAACCGGTGGGCAGGTGAGGCCCCGCCTCTCCACTAGCGAGGCTCCGGCTGTGAGGGATGGGAGTTGCGTGAGGCCGGTGCTGCGCTAGGCCTCCCACGGAGGGACAGCGGGGTCAGTGCCGCTCTGCCTCCCGTGTAGGCCTTCCCCCTGCGGAGGGGCTCGGGGAGTCCCGGTGGGCAAGTGGAGGAGCTGTCGATTGCTGTTTCCGTTTCTCTGGGTCTTTCTTTCTCTGGCCTTTCTACCCCAGGGTCTCTCCGTGCCCCGCGGCAAGGAGAGGTGCGGCTTTCCGGCGGGCCCGTGACTGTAGGGTTGAAGCTAACGGCGCGGTGCGGCGCGGCGCGGAGCGGCGCAGCCACCAAGGGGGTTCTCGCAGGCCCAGCCCGTTTGTCTCCCACCTGGCCCTGTGCCTCTTGTGGAAGTGCTGGTGCCTGGGTGCCAGGCTATCTCTAGTGCTTCAGGCTGTTGCCGAAGCTAGGCTGGGGAGGAGGAGCTTTTTCTGTGTCGGGTGAAGAGCTTGCTGTTTAGATGGGTGCTAGGAAGATCCTGTTGGGGAATGTGGAGCTAATTGCTGGCCTTTGCATAGCTCTGCAAAGCCCAGCAAAAGGAGAGTACCATTGTTGCGGTTTCTTTGACAGACAGTTCCTGCCTGCCTGAGTTTCGCCAAGTACTGGCTGAGCTGTAAGTATCTTTGCCACCCCCAGATCATTCCACCTAGTGTCCTCTTGCATGCTGCATGAGGGCATTTCCTCCTTTTGCAGGGCTCTTCTAGAATATGTCAGGTGGAAAAAAGCACTCTGAAACACTTGCCCTCTAGGTGAATCCTAGTACTGCTCAGCCTGTTTGACTGGGGCTTCTGATCCCCTTTAGAGGAAGTTTTGATTTTGTTTCATAATCTTAAACCATGGTGTGCAGTAGAGATTCAGGAGAGTGGCAGCCCAGCAAATTGCAGAGGAGACAGCCTTTGGGATAATTGGGCTGTGCAGTTTCTCATGGACCAGTTAGTGAAGTGACAGCAAACACAGTATAATGTTTTTCGCTCCTGATACCATTAAGAGTAAGTGCTTTGGGGTATTATTCTTACACATGAGTTGCAGCATACTTAACATATATGTGTACCTAAGAGCTCTTTAATAGGCTGTCTGCCTTACGGTAGTTTACTTACACCCACGAAATGGCATTTGATGCACTTGGAGTAACTTGGCAAGTGTCCTGTGACATGATTCCTTAGACTGTCTTTTTCTTCCTTGTCTGCCACTCCCTTTTCCGATTCATGAAGATTTGTTTATGTTTTCTTTTTGCTCACTAGAAGTTGATAAAGTAAGGTATCTAGAGATTGGGTGGTGGTTGGATGTTTTTGGGGAGGCGGGGACTTTGTTTGCTTGTTTTACAAGTAAAGACCTGCAAACAGACAGGTACTGCCTTTGCTTTTGTTAATGTGTGAGGAGGAAATGGAAACAAAAGCTTAAGTGCTTCTTGCTGTCTGTGCCTCTTGCTGCTCTTGGTGTTCTTGGAAATAGTTTTCTTCATGAAGATGCATGATCCCCTGTATTAGAATACAGTATGTGAAATTTGAATGATGTTTCAAACTGAAACTGAAGTTCCCTTATTGCATCTGATCCTGTCGATGTTGTGTTTTCTGTATTCTCCAGAATAACCAAGCCTGGTCTTCTGCCTCCAAGCTGAACAACACAGCATGTTGCTCAAGTTTCAGGTGGGCTCGATTTGTTATTGCCTGGAAGAGGGTTTTACTATAAGTATTTTCCATTATCATAGGACAGACAGTAATACCACATGCCACTAACAGGACTAGAGAAGTCAGTAACCCTGAAGAGCCCACTTCCTCCAACATCCCAGATTCCTGCTCTTGGTGATCTTGCAAATGCTCCACATGAAATGCCATCCAGGTGCTGCAGGAAGTGCATCAAAGAGACAGATTCAGCTATGTCAGGCTGGCAAAGCAAGGAGGCCAATCTGGTGGGTGTCTGTCTTGCTCATTTTGTTTCCCTTTGTTTTCTTTGGCTTTGCTTGGGTGTGGTGGTGGGAAGTGCCTGTAGATACTACAGAAGAATCCTCTGGAATTTCGAAGTTAAATGAAAAGTTGATGAGCGATGTCACCTTGTCAAGCCATCCTTGTAGTCGGTTGTGTATAGGTACTTTTTGTCAAAATGTGTAGTCTTTCACTGTATCTGATCTAAGCAGATGATGACAATTTAGCTGCATTTCAGTGAGGTCTTTACCATTTATGCTTGGGCTGTTTAAGTAGCAGTCTGGTGAAAATAATGTCACAAAAAAAGCTTCATGAGATAACTTGGTAGAGGTTTATAAAGTGTTTTTTTCTTTCTTTTTTTTGTGTGATGACATTCAGTTTGTTACAGTGCTGTTCTTGTATGAAGATGATCTGTGTTTTTATTATTTCCTTATTTCCTTTATCTAAGAAGGAAGTTTGAGGATCTTAAGCATGCATGCTCAGAGCAGTGACAAATCCAGAAATAAGTATTAACAGAGCAGTAGAAACATTTCAAAGCATTTAGAGCAAGACAAAGCACAAGTGGAACATAATGCTGCAAGGTTCTGACTGTCCATTTTATGAAGGAAAACCAATGGTCCTTACTAAATAAATCAGGCACTTTTTCCTGATAAAACAGCAACCTGAAAACAAAGGTAATGCTTTTGCAACCAGATAAAAGTCAGAAAAGTAACAGCTTTTGTCTTTTTCTCTCAAGACCTACTGAAGCACTACACTGCTGTGACAAGTAAGTCCTCTCCAGCAGCGTATGCTGCGCCTGACTGGTACTTGCACTGCTCCAATCCCCCAGGACCAATAAGCCATGGTAAGTCTGCTGAGAACTTACATAACTTCTTGAGTTCTTCACTTGGTAGTGTTTAAAATGCTGTTGTACTAAAGTAGAAGATATGTATCCCTTGTATAATAAACAAGTGTTAAATCTTGGCCTGCAGGAGCTATGTTTCCTCTCTACCAGATTATGTAATTCACAAAGAGTTTAAGGCTGATGAACGTTGTGGTAACCATTATGAGATAAGAGGCCTTTTTGATTTTGATACGAAAACTGTTTGGCATCGGGATGCTGAGGACAAAGAACAGGCAGAGAAAAAGAAGGTATGGTGGAGAGGCACTCTTGTCACTTGCTTGGTTTGTAGACCTTGTGAAGACGCTTGTAGCTGGGCCTGTTACAGAAGGGAAGCTGTAGTCCACCCAAGCTTCTGTGTACCAGAGACAATCTTTATACTGCAGTTAACTGAGAAGAAAGCTGTGTTTCTCAAGTGCAGTAGGTGTAGCATAAGAAACAGAAATGCAGTTTCCACTCACATTATATAGTGCATGTACTGAAGTATGAAAGAAGGCCAGTAGTTAGTTTCCGTCTCCTTATGCTTTATTTCCCCTGCAGTTCAGTCTTGGTGAAGAGAATTTTTGTTTAGTAATTTTCGGGGCAGAACAAATGAGAGGGAGAAAGGAACAGAAGACTCTTCCAAAAAAGAAGTGTGCTTTAGTTTAAGATGCAAGAGAGTCTCTAAAGATACTGTAGTAGCTGTCTTTGAACAGAAGATGTATCCAAGACAAAATAAGTATAGCACAGGCTATGTCCAGAACAAACCTTTCTGAGTGATCTTGGTGTTTTGTCCAGGAAGCCTCTCTCCTGTCCTCCCTCTTTCATCCTCCTTGCCCTTGCCTGTTTTAGAAGTTGAAGCCTTATGGTTTTATTAATATTCTCTGTAATCTTGGTTGCCTAATTTACTGTAGGTCTTTGGAGTATCCATGGAAAGGTGTTTGATGAACAGAGGGGAGGATGTTGGATGTTTTAGGAAAAAAAGTTCTTAGCCTTTGCTGAGATGAGTAACTAGTACAAATTCAGAGTCATGGCAGGTGCAGATGGGAACACCTCATTACTGAATAGGTTAGGAAATGTGTACTTAATCTGTGGAAAGAGGCAAACAAGCAATGTATGCTTACACTACAATTTGCCTGGTGCTTGTAAGTGAATCTTTCTTTCAATCACAGATACAAGGACTGAAAGTGGAAACCTGGCTTGCCATGGGGTCTCTTGAATGGTTGAACTAGGATCTTCAGTACTCTAAAAGTCAAACTTTGGTAACAGTAAGACTAATGCAAGTCCATGTGATGACTGGTGAAGTTAGACTGAGGTCCATTTCTGTTTGTGTGAAGTTTGATAGAGACAGTTTCATTCAGTCATGTGAATGAAAGTTTCCATGTGATTTATTTAGCACCAAATATAAAGTGAATATGTTATATATTCAGCTAAGTTTCAAAATCTGTTGAGGCCCTGAAAGATAATCTACACTGTTCTTATGGAAGCTGAAGTTGAGTTTTGTCTGAGGTGCTAAATCTATCATATCTTTTTTCTTTAGGATTACGTGCCTGACAAGGCAGATTCTGTGTCTCTTAGCTTTAGCTTTACCTCCACACCACCATCTCTGGAATATTTGTCCTTCACAGTACCTTTCTTGTACCCTGAAAAGTGCCTCGTATATCTTGAAACATTGCATGATGCTTCTTTCACAGCTGCTTCTTGTATCTCCTCTTACAAGAGGTTTCTATCGTGTCCTTACAGGCTACCTTTCTGAAGAGTCTTCAAGCGAGACAATGGATCTAGCCCTGCCAAATGGTCTTGACTTTAGTTTTTTCACTGTACATCTTGCATGTTGAAATGTAAGAGATATGTTCCAAAATACCACAAGCAAATTTCTAAGCAATATTCAATTCATTCATTTGACTGTGTGATTATATTGCAGCAGCCAACTACTTCAACTATTGAGACTGAACATACTGAAAATATTTTTCAGTCCAGTCTGACTAAGCAGTTGCTCAGACGACACTCATGATGGAGTCATGGAGATAAATCCCTTAGGGCACCCTTAGGGACAAGTGCAAAAACATTCTGACTTCTAAGCGTACCTCTTCAACTGGGTTTGGAAAACATTGTTTCCCTTCTGGGCCCTTTCTCTAGAACATTAAGCCTTTATGCCACTTTGTTCTGAAGTATTAGAATCTCTACTGTTCATCGTACTATGATTGTCAATGTGTAGAGGACTGGAGATCAGGAGGACCATTATTACATGGTTCTCTGTGCCTTGTGATGGATCCTGTAGTTCCTCCTCAATGCCTTAATCACAGGGATAATTCTCATTCTTCTGGGAATTTTGCATCAAAATGCTGCAAAGATGTGTTAGTGCATGAAGGATTTAGCCTGTATGCTCATGGCAACATGATGGTCTATGAGCCTAAGTATGGATATTTTCCTTATGCACCATATGGACCAGCTGGGTTGGGTTGAAAATGCTATGACTCTTAAGAAAAAGGCAGCCATGTGTATGAGTGAGAGATCTGTTGCAGGGTTGTATCGTGGTTAGCATCAGCATTAGGCAATCTTCCTGCATCATCAGCAAGATTATTACTTCATTTCTGAAGAACTCTGTTTAGTCACTTGCCCGAAATGTGTATGTATATATGCATACATACATTCGTATGTATGTGCTGTAGTAAAAGGATTACTTGAGGTCAGGATTTGGAAGAGAGAAATTTGGAAGGTAATCAAATTTTCCCTTGATTGCAGGGGAGCCAGGACTTCATCCAGGGGCTTTTAGCTTTCCATGTTGGCAGCAGGTATCCGTTGTTCTTAATATACTAGCCAGGCACAATACTTAACCACATTTCATGTTTCTTAAATCTGAGACTAATAAATGTGTATGTATAATAAATTTAGGTACTAATTTTTAGGGCATGTCGTTGCTATCTCTTCACAGAGAAATCACTTTAAACTGAGAGCATGCAAAAAAGGTCCTACATAGTTTCCTTTATCTGGGTAAGTTGTTCTCTGTAAAACAGAGGATTGTCAAAGTGAAAATGCCTCCCCAGCTATAATTGTTGGGGTGTGGTGGGACAAGGGTCTGCTTTTAATGCTGAATTTGTAAACAAAGTAAAGTAACAAACAACACCTGGCAGATTGCAGGTGTCCTCCAAAGGCAAATTCTGACCTGTTTCCTTGCTCCTTTTGTTACTCCTCAGCTCATTTGAACAGCAGAGAATGTTTTGATACCTGCAGTTTATGCTAGTCTGTCTCATTTAATACCATGAAAAGAAACAGAACATGTTAAACAATATGACAGACTTGGTAGCAGCCTTCAGATGTTTTCTCATTGCATTTTTTTTTTCCTTGACTTTAGTTTGAGAGTTTGGCCTTTGTCTATCTCTAGTCAAAAATCTCTCTAGGGTTTCCCCCTCTTCCTACCTTTTAATTAACTTTTTAATTATTAGACTTCCTTTTCTAGTGCTTTGCTTCAATGCTGAGGGGAGTCTCAACTTTCCATCTACCATTTGTCTCTTGCCTGTCAGTTTTTCCACGTTGCCCTGTGTGCCATCATGCCTTCAATATGTGACAAAGGTTACCAGAGTTTGGTGATTTCTACTTGTCTTACTAAATTGCTTTTGTCAGTTGGAACTATTAAGTAGCTGGGCTGGGTCTAAAACTTCCATGGTATGTCAGATCTGAAATGGTGCAGTTTAATGGTAGATGGAAGACAGTACTATCATTTTTTGCACAATAGGATACAATTTGTGAAATGTAAAGCACAAGTAGGCTGCTTCAGCACAGAGTAGTGTTCGTGAATTTGAAAAGCAGTTCTGAATACCTAAAGCGTATTTTAATCTCTAGGTTGGACAACAAACTCTGCTCTTCCTCCAGCATCACTGCTTCTAGCATCACTGCATGCTCTTGCTAGTATCATCTCTTCTTCTCTGACAAATATCCATTTTTTTCATCTTTTTAAGCTTCAGCATAGTCAGGCTGAAATCTGATAGCCTATCCACTTATTCTTTTCCAGATTCTGAAATTTTTCTTCTGGTGAGACTCTGATTCTATTGAAGTCTGTAGGGGTTTCAGCACTGACTTAACACATTGATTTGCATTGATATCCTCTTTCAGGATCAGTAAAACTGTCTTAGGCTTCACTTTCTTTCAGAAAATGATAAAACTTACATTCTCTGAACATCCAGGTCTACTTCTTTTAGTGGCTTTTTAACTAGCTCACTGATCAGATGTATTCAAACGCCGTTATAATTTTCTTTGCTCTTTCTTTTTAAATGTGCACGGGCTTCTTGAGCAGTCTGTGGTGTGTTTACATCTACTTTGGAATCTTCTCCTCATGGATGTTTTCATGGGAGTTGTTTTGTAGTATCTGATGATGGTGCATCTAATTTTTGCATTCTGTTCATAATTTCTTGCTCTGTTAACTGTATCACGGTAGGTATTTCCACATAGGAGGAAAGTATATTTATCCTTAATGTACTTTTCAATCTACGGAGCAATACATTCCACTTCCAGTTTCTCTGTCCTGATTTTTTTTTAAAATAACTTGCAAGTAATAACTCTGATCTAAGATATTTTCGTACACAGCATACAGAGAAATGAGCCAAGACAAGAGGTTGCAACAGGTAAGTCTAAATTGGAAGCTTAACTTAGGGTAGAGGTGTACACTGAGGGAAAAGCTTGTGGAGAGCACATTTTACTTTATTGATAGAGTGAATGAACAGCTGGTCTCATCTAGAGTGACTAAGGTTCTGCTTTATCTTTTGCTATTTCTTTATGGTCCGCTATTCTTACTTATGGAAATAATATAGATAATAAAGTTTGATAAGAGTTGGGGCCTTTAATATATTCTTCACTTTTGAAGGTTATACTATCATATAATCTTCTTGGTTATTTTTATCATAATTCCTTTTATTAAGTGAAGATTTCTCTAACACAGGTAAAGCTCCCAGCTATAAACCCTAAATATCCAAGCAGAATGCCAAATGTTTCTATGAACGAGGAATTTAGTGGGAAAAATAAACTTTCCTTCCCACCCGTGTAAGTAGTATGCTTATGAAATTTATTAAATTCCTAAGCAAGTAATATTACTCTCTGAAAGTGCAGATTAGTGGCTATGTGTATGGGCTTTATGGATCCTTTACTACTGCCGAACTTTCTATTATCTGTGGTATTTTAGTTGTAAAACTATTTTAGTAATAGCACTTTAAGTCGTACAGGAAAGCTATTCAGTATGACTTTGCTTTAGGAAAACTATGCATAGAGTTGCATGTCTTCATGTAGCAAGCTTTTATTGTATTCTAAATTGTCTTGGTTTTGTCCTCAATGCCAGTGTACAGATTCAAATAATGATGTATATTGTTAGTTCTGTGAACATAGGTTACAAAGACACAAGTGGGGCTGCTATTTTAAGAAAACACAAACTGTAGCCTATGTAAGGTCAGTCACAGCAAAAGTACTGCAATGAACAGGGAGGATAAGTCTTTTAAGGAAATTACTATATCACCCATGATGTGATGTAGTATCATCAGCTGTGTGCAAAACTGAATTGTTTCTGTGTACTTTGTCTTAAAAAATTATTGGGCAGTCATCAGTAATCCCAGTATGTTTTAGAAATATATTAATGATGCAGAATAAATTAGTAAACTGCCTAATGAGCAAATCTGTAATGAAATTGCATCTTTGTGCAGTGCAGAATGAGTAGCATCAGCCTTTTTTGCTTACACATTCTTGTGTGATTCATTTTTCACTTTTTTTCCTCTTAAGACCAGAGCTGTGTAACTATTACACATATAAAATTCCGATAATCTTCAATTCCTACATTATTACATGTGGAATATATGTTTAGTTATTTAGAAATTAATTATAAGGCTAATTCCCTTTCTGTGCAAAATAAAATTTTACCACCTAATCCCTATTTTTGTTTACTTATGCTATTGTTTTCCTTAATATATCTGGATTTATAGGCCTGCTCAGAGAAAAAATGAAGCACTAAACTTTAGCAAATTAATTAGCAATGGTTATGGGACTGACTGGCTTCAGCAGTGTATCGGAAGGGACAAAAAGATTAAAGAAACATCAGAAAATACTGATCAGTCCAAAGGTAACATTTTTGAAAGCTGTTTCTTTTCAAGTGAGTTGGGATCTCAAGGCAACAGCAGAGGGCAGCCTGAATCATTTGTCTGTGTAACTGAATTACTCTGCTTAGCTTATAGTTCCCTATGAGCAGCTGAAGAGTGCTCCTGTTTGTAGTCAGCAAAGTCAGGGATTTAATGGATTTTTTCTATCTTTACAATTGCAGAAGTATGCTCTAATCCATGCGCTTCTGTGTTTTTGTGAAATGTTGCAAAGGCACAGTTGTCATTCTGCCTAAATTTAAGCAAAATAAAATATTTGTTGCTTATTTGTTGTGAATTGCCTTTGGCCACTAATATGTTTCTGAAAACTGCTTTGGCAAATGCCATTGATACTCATGTTTAAGAAATAGAGCACTATTCATAAGACTTTGTCAAAATAGATATATATGCTTTGTAAAGAGAGTGACGTTGTAACAGTTTTATTAGAGAAAAACCATTATTTGATGTTTACTTACGATTTCAGGCCTTTCCTTGTTGTGCACACTTGCAATAGCTATGAAAGACATCATTTGAAAATACTTAGGAAGAAAGGTTAAAGGGTGGAAAATTTCCCTTCCTTATGTCCAGGACCTTTTGCTTAGGCTTTTTACAATGGCTTGGTAACCATAGAGGCTACGTGAGTTTCCTATAGCAACCTTTTAAAATGCTGTTGGACACAGAGGTTGCAAGTTCCAGAATTTTATTTATTTATTTTTATTTGTATCAGTGAATGTCACTGAATTTGTATACACTGGGGATTGCCGTGACTCCCTTGATCTTGGTATATCAATGTGTGAAAGTCTTAGAGGACAGTTAATTTACTTTCTGTGACACCTTAGCACTTCCTGAATTCATTGTGTCTTCTTTCCATCAATACAGCGACAGTAACTGTGTTTTTGTGTGTGTGTGTGTGTGTGTGTGTGTGTGTGCTGAGCCTTTTCTTCCAGGTGAGTATCCGAAGAAACGGGGCAAGCAAAACTAGAAGTGTGTTATTGTTCAGAAATAAAAAATAAGGGATGAAACCAGGTCTCAGTCTGGACCTGAAAGAGGGTGCATGACTTTGAATAGTGGCTTCTTGGGTTAACTTAGTATCCAAACTCTGGTCATGCAGAGGTGCTGCCTTAGGAGGTGCTGAATAGTCTGATGTATCTTCAAAAATAAGATTTGTCTATATATGTTATTTTTGAGATGCTTTTCTTTTACAAATTCTTAGATAATACATCCTGCTTTGCTTGTATTGCCCTCCTTTGTCGATCGTAGCTATATTCTGATTAAGAGAGATTCTGTATCTCGATGTAAAAGAAGATTTTTGGTTTTTAAATGTTCTTAACAGTGTGGTTTCATCCAGACATGTGCTTTGATTCAGTTTTGACCATTTCATTCTTTTAGGTATTCACTGAAGGTAGTGCTTGTACTTTCCCACTTGGGTAATTTTGTTTGCTCATCCAAAGCAATTGGCAGCATGAGCACCTTGCAGCTCCCTTTTGAGATGGAGCTTTCTTGGTTATGTCTTGCACAGGATAAGTCCAGGACATCAGACAGGACATACATCCCCTTTGGTATGTAAATCTGTAACCCAGGTATGCTGATATGTGCAAACCATGTAGGTAGCTTCTCTATCTTATTAGCAAAAATGTAAAAGTACTGGAATTTGTGTGCCTTTTGATGTGAGAGGAAAAACTGAAAATTTTAATTGACCTTTTTATTGTTGCAGTTGAAGTTACCCAAAGAGCTTTAATTTTTTTTTTTTTTGTATTGCAGATTCAGAGCCATCGGCTCTCAAAATCTATTCCATAAGAATTCCTGTGTGGCTGCAATACTGCTGACCTGTAAAGAAGAATTCTAATTCTTTTCTATATTATGGTCTCTTTTTCTCCTTAAGATGTGTACAAATCTTCCTAAAGCAAATTTATTACATTGAGTTTTTTGATATCTAGGTCCTCTTTACTTTTCAACAGTTCTTTGTCAGTATTGGAGTTCTTGTGTAAAACTGTCAGATTTTTTAGGCAATTGTTGAAGACAGAGACAGAAAGACAACTGAGATCCCAGAGTGGTCACTCAGCACTGTTGTTTTATTGTACTTGTGGTCTTAGAAGTGTTTATATTGCTGTTTTTCAGATATTTTAGAAGTCTACACCCTATCCTATTGTAAAAATTATACCTCAGTCACTATTAGGTAATATCCACCTGACATTCTTATATTCTTAAAAGTTTACTTACGTGCCATTAATGTACACTCAGCTTTCCTTAGCCAAGCCCAGGATATATTTGATCTGCACTGTCAGTCAACTGAGTCTTCATGGATCACAGTTTGACTACTATGAGATAGAATATTAACAGCCTAAGATTTCTCTTTATAAGAGCAGGTGGAAAACCCTGGAATTCCTGTTTATGAATTCGGGATAGTGCAGAGTTGCAGCAGAAGCATAACTTGCCAGTTCTCCAAGAGATGTGAAATCAAAGTAGTGTAACATATCACAAAGTCCCAACTTGAGGATGGAAATCTGTTGCTTGAGTTCACCTTGCTTCAGTAATTATGTTTGTTATTTACTTGTGAGACAATGCAGTCATGCTGCTGGCAGTTTTAAAAGTCATCAGTAGTTCCATGTGACAGCAGTGGAAGATTCTGGGTCTGCAAGGGTTTTCAGTGTTTGTTTTTCAGAGAGATGCCAAAGTTGAAAGCTGGGTAGTTTCTTACAGAATCTAGCCGTATTGTTTTAAATGCTGAAATGTTTATTTAGTTGCATTGTGCTCCATTTCTGACTTGAATGCCTTTAAGTAAGAAATTATCTCACTTCTTACTTTTGAATACTGATTGATTTGCAAGCCCAAAGATAAAACAGAAGTGCAGTTGTATTTGATGAATTGAACCAAAGTATACTGAATATTTGAATATTTTTAAAAGAGAATTCCAGATACAGATTTAAAAATAACTTGGCAGTTTAGGTACCAAAGAGTAACTTTCTTTTTACATGCAACTATTTTTCCATAGCAGAGTCTAATGGCTGTTTTCATTTTAATGTGACCAAATATATACTTCATTCTTACCACTTGCATCTTCTTAGACTATACTTGAATATAAACATGTTTTCAGAGATGAAGGATACATATGCATTAACTTTCTTTGTATAGCAAGGCACACAACAGTTGAATTGCCCATGCATTTCTTAAGCATCTAAAATTTAATTGATTCAGCATATCTATTTCTAAAATACTTGTATCTGTACTGAGTAATGCAGACTTAGTTGTAAAAGATGCAGGATGAAGCCAGTTCTTTTCTGTGAAGAGTGTAATGTTCTGCTTTTGCAGTTCTCTGTAGATCATTTTTCAGAATATTATGCTATAGCCTGGAAAATAAGCTAGAAATAGAAATACAGAAGTTCAGTCTTGGCATGTTTTGTCCTCCTATTAATGGTATTAATGATTTGTCCTCCTATCAATAGTATTAATGATAATAAACACCCAGAATGACAAGAACCAAAATATAGTAGGTAAGTATCCAGACAGCTGCACTGAATTATTTGACCGATTAATTTATAAAGATGGTAAATGGTGAGGAGGAAGTGGTATACTTATTTTAAATCCTACACTGTTATCATTGGCTGGTGCAATGGCCAAATAAACTACTGGTCAGGTAACTCAGGTTCTGTTTCCAGTGAAATTTTCCAACCTCACATAGTGGTCTTTGTATTAGCACTTGTACTCCTCAAATAGAGGAAAATGTTACAATGCTTGAAACCTGATGGAATCCAGCTCTCCCAATGGGAAAAATGTGCCTTTGGACATAAACTGGTGGGACCGATTGAGAGGGCTTTAAACTAGAATCAGTGGCAGAAGGGGATACCAACAGGATTGCTGAAGGTAAGCCAAAGGTTGACATGGTATTGCCTGAGGATGGCGATGCTAGTGGGAATATTTACACTGCTTCTGGGAGCATGGGGGGGCTCAGGAGCATATCTTGAATGCGTGTACACCAACGTTTGCAGTATGAGGAAAAAACCAGGATGCACTGGAAGTGTTGGTCAGCTCCCAGATCTATGTTATCATTGGTATTAGAGACTTGGTGGAGTGAGTCCCATGACTGGAGTGCTGGGATGGAAAGCTGAAGGGCAGAGCACCAAGAGTTGTAGTGAATGTGGCTACACCTGGGTGGTGACTGTAACCAGAGGTGTTCAATACATTTATCAATGCTCTGGATGCAAGAGTTGAATGCACCATTGCCAAATATGCTGATGACTCTCTTGAGGGACAAGAGGCGTTGCAGAAGGATCTAGATAGGTCAGAGCATTGGGCAATGATTTATAGGGTGAAATTTAACAGGTTGAAATGCTGGGTTTTGCACTTAGGACAGAGTAACACTGGGCACAAGTATAAATGGGGAGAGAAATGGCTCGAGAGCAGTGCTGCAGAAAGGGATCTGGGGGTGCTGGTCAGCAGCAGGCTCACAAACATGAGTCAGCAGTGAGTCCTGGCAGTGCAGAGGGCAAACTGCATCCTGGGGTGCATCCAACACAGCATGACAGCATGGTCAAGAGAGGTGATGATCCCGCTGTATTGTGTTGGTGCAGCCTCACCTTGAGTTCTGGGAGCAGTTCTCTGCCCCACAACTTAAGAAGGATACGAAGGTCCTTGAAGGCATCCAGAGGAGGGCAACAAAGCTGGTTGAAAGGCTGTAAAGCATGTCCTGTGAGGAGCAGCAAAGGACTTTGAGCTTGTCTAGTGTGGAGAAAAGGGGGCTGAGGGGCAAAATCGTTGCTCTCTACAGCTCCCCGAGGAGGGAGAGTGGAGAGGGAGGTGCTGTGCTCTTCTGCCTGGGATCCAGTGAGAAGACATGTAGGAATTCTTCAGAGATACACCAGGAGAGGTTCAGATTGGACATTAGGAAGCATTTCTTTAGTGAGTGGTCAAACACTGGAACAAGTTGTGCCTGAGGGGCATTCAGTGCCCCAAGCCTGTCAGTGGCATTTGAACAATGCCCTTAACAACATGCTTTAGCTTTGTCACCCCTGTGCAGGCACTTGGATTAGATCATTGTAGGTCCCTTCCAGCTGAAAGAGTCTAGTCTGTTAGCAGCAGTCTGTGCTCTTTTCTCACCACGTGTTTTTTGCCATACCAAGGCACTAGAAAAAGAAGAGCACTTACAGACCGTATGAATATACATGTAGAAAGACCGGTATAGACACCGACATCCACACAACCTGACTGTGCTCCTCGGGGTTGCCAGCACGTGCTTACCGTATGTATATGTGTATTATCACATCGTCCTCGCCGCCTCGAGGCAGACCGCGGCCAGCCCCTTACTGATGTCCGAGCCGCGCTCCGCCGCGGGCTGCCGGCGCGCCGAGAGTTAACCGCGCCCGGTGCTGCGGGCTCCGCCCGGGGCGGGGCGGACGGTGTTGTGCCGTGCTGTGCCCTACCGTGCCGCACCGTGCCGTTCCGCCCGCCGCTGCTGGAAGGTGGGTCGGCCAGCGCACCCCGCAGCCCGACCGGGTGCGCCGAGAGAGAGCTGCGGTTCACAGCGGTGCCTCCGCTGCCCCAGGTGAGAGCTCAGCCGAGCCCCGCCAGCCGCCGGTCACCGGATCCCCCGCGTGCGGGTAGCGGCGGAACCCCGAGTGCCGTTCGGGGGCGGGGAGGATACGACCGGTGCCGGGGAAGCGGTGGTTGAGGGCGGTGGGGACAGAGGTCTGGTGGGGTGGGAGGTTCGGTGGTGCCGTTTTTCCGAGATTGGGTGGATGGGAGCTGCCCGCGGGGCAGGAAGCCGGCTGGAAGTAAGTGATGGGCGTCGGGAGCGAGCTGTCATTGCATGCATAGCCTCGATGAGGGACGCTCAGGGCAGAAAACAGTTTTGCAGTGGCTCTTCAGGTTTTCTAATGATGGATCAACGCTAACCTGATGGACCAACGCTAACCTAACACTACTTTTCCTTAAAGATACTGCTAACTGAGACTTTCCTAAAGAAAAAAAGCAACCGGACAAAACCAACCAACAAACAAAACAAAAACCCAAACCACCACCGTGAAACAAAACAATAGTGTGTGTGTGTGTGTGTGTGTGTGTGTGTGTGTGTGTAATGAGATACAGTGGATTCTGCCCGGTTTTGAATCACTGGGCAGAGTAGTCACACACATGTTGAAGCAGGCCATGCCCTTTCTTGTGCTGCATCCTGCTGGGAGCGCATTATTCTTGAGCATCAGTCTGATGGAGGATGGCTGCTGGAAGTTTTGTCATGTCTATAAAAATCTCCATTTGTATAGGCAGTGTGAGAGTTTTACGGCTTTATGGTAATCGGGTGCCTGTTGGTCTGTGTGTGATGGCCGGAAGGGTCTGCCGTGGGAAAACTGAGTTATGCTTGCTCCTTTCTGCTGTTCCTGCCAAGGCGTCTCTGGTTGGGTGCTGCTGGAGAGGGTACCCTGCACCTGTGCACTGTCAGAACTTTGCTGTCAGATTTTCTTGAAGTACATTGTTACTTAGCGCACTACAGAACCAAGAACACTGTTAAAAATTATGTGGTTGCTTAATGCTGTTAAGAGCAGCTGAATAAATATCCTTGGTTTGTTTGCAGCCAGTTATCATCTAGGTACATAAAAAGCATTTTGCTGTTTCTTCTTATCTGATAACTCCTTGTTATTAGCACTCCCGGCACTGTACTTTTCTTGGGACAAATGATGCATTTTTCCTGTGATGCATGTGGTATAATAGTGATGCCCTGTGGGAACTGATTAATCCTATGACCACGAGGATGCATAATGATTCTAAATGTGACTTTTATAGTTTACCTCCTTGAGCATGGAATCTAGTATATGTTTAGTATGTGTAGTACATGTGATGTTTAGGTCTGTTTAATAAAGGTGACATTTTAAATGAAGAAAATGTCCTTGAAAGTTTTAATACATTCCCATTATTCAGTGGCTTTTAACACTCAGACTTCAGGTTAATCTTGTTTGGTTTTCAGTTCTTTCAAAATTCACATATTATGTAATTCTGTTGCAAGACTGATTTCTTTCTATTTCCTTGTAGTGTAATCCTGGAGTTTTTAAGGATTACAGTCCTGTCTGTATTACAGTGTATGTGCTGTCAGGCCTTTTATAAGGGAGGGTAGAGCAGAATTTGTGATTCAATACTTTCTCTAAGGGCATTCCCAGAAAGTACCAACTTTGGCACGTAGCTGTAGTCACTTCTGAAAATAACAACAAATGAATCATTCTGTAATTACAATTTTGTCATTGTATCAACACCAAAGCTTCAGTGATATATTTGCCTATTTGTATGCAGAAAGAAGATTTATTGTATAGGTTAATGGATTAGGAAAAAAGTTGATAAAGGGCTGTGACTTTTTGGAGTCATGGTTTGTTTTAGCTTTCCTTGCCCTTAGACTGGAGCAGATAAAAATCTCTTATGGTCAGTATGAGGAGTTTAATGGAAAGTATATTATGATTAAGGTACTTTTGACTCAGGTTTCAGGCATATGGCAGTTGGAGATGAGCTTTAGAGCCTTCTGGAGGCAGAGGTGGAAGAGGGGCTAAGACTAGGTCAGCAGTCACTGTCATTGTGGGAGGCACAGAAGAAAGTGGGTTGTTTAGTTAGCTGTGAGACTTACCTCTCTTTGGCTCAGGAGCCGGGTGTTGCTTATAGCACAGAACAGAAGTAGTAGTGAGATGGGGGTTACCTTAGCAAGGGATTAGTTCAAGTTTTAGTGGTTTAAAGGTGGTGATACTCATTTTGCTGTAGTGGGGCTGGGTTATTTCGGGGGTTTAATATTCATGACAGCGTCACGTATATAGAGGGTTTGTCTCACTGTTAATGATGCTAGCTTTACGTATGGGACTATTCTGATGCACTTTATATCTGATTTTTTAAATATAATTCTAGGTATAAGCATACATGGCTCCTGGTATCCCAAACAAGAAGAAAACTGATGATGAACAGTCTTCAAAGTAAGATTTGAAAATGAATTGTCCATGTTCATATTTACCTTCCTCCCCAAACTCATTACTCATTTAGTTTAAGATAAAGTTTATAGTACAAATATTGATTATAACATCAAGTATCTAGTAGAAACTGTTCTGACAAATGGGGTCTTTATCTGATTTAACCACAAACGCCCATGCGGTGGGCTTTGCTGGCTAGCTATTTTCATTTATTATGACAGTGAATTTTTCCAAACATAGGTGATGTGTGGTTTTATTATTTATTTATTTTTTAATGCAGTGAGCTGTTGAAATGTTGACTTTGGTTGCTGCATATGGCCAGACCTACCTGCTGCAGGAGTTTAATCAAATATTGAAATCTTTTTCTGTAAACCTTATTTTAAGCTGCTTTTAGTAAAACCGTGCTTGCATGTTTAGCCCTCATATATTTGCGTTTTGTTTCAAACATCAGCTTTATAACAGCGTAAGGGAAATGAATTGTCTGCTCCTTAGGGTTACAGGCCAAAGATTTTTATCAGTCAAACTTTGCCTTTACTGTTAATTCATGGTATTGGTCCTATGTACAAACGTTGATATGCTTATTTTATTGCCCATTTTACCCCAGGGTCGAAGTCTGCAGTTAGATCTGGATGGGCAGATAACCAGTGCAAGTTAGTAACAGCCGCTAGGTGCTGCAGGGTGGTGGGTTGGAAAGCTTTGCTGGTAAGGTATGAGATGAAAAAGGTGAAATACAGACACTGCTGAGGAAGGAAGCTGTATTTAGGGCAGGCATGAGGATGGTGGTGTTGGCACATACTACATGAATTTCCCTGTACTTTTAACAGAGGCCTCACCTTTTCCTAATTTATTTCCTGGAGAGAAGCTTTGATGCTGGTATTCTCATAAAGAAGGAAATATTTCTTTTGCTTGACTGAGAACAAATTTTAAAGTGATTTCAAATCATATCCTATTTGTAAATAAAAACTGTTCCAATAAACATCACAGCCAGCTATTAGATCTGCATTAGTGAGTGACCCATTTAATATGGGTAGAGAATCCCACAGAACCAAAGAGGAGAATATTTTAGAGTAGCAGCCTGGGAATTCTGCTTGTGTGAGCTGGCAAACTCTTGGGCTGTCTGTGCCTTTCCAGAGAGCCGCAAACCTGTTATTTATTTCTTCTGTAGTCAAACAGGTCTCTCAAAGGGAAGAACAAAGGCAACTGAAGCCTTTGGCTCCACCTCAGGCAGGATTTGAGAGAAGCAAATGGGCATGTGGAAGATGGAGAGGAATTGCTACCAAAGGAGCTAGCAGCCCACCTGCTTTGTTGGGCTGCTTTTTCTGTGCTGAAGGTGGTAGTGGTGGGCTGGGACAAATAGGGTGGATTGAGATGATAACTCTTTCTTTGGTTGTGCAGCTGCTGCTCCATAGTGACTGACACTGGGGAGAGAATTTCAAGGACAGAAACAACTGTTATACTGAGAATATTGGGGTTGTAGCTGTTTCCTTCGCTTTCTGAGGAACAGTTCAGTGACCCCAGTATGGGCATCTAGGCCATTTTAGCCTTCTTAAGATAACCCATCCATCCTGTGCAAGGTTGACAAATAAGACGTAGGACCTACAGAAAAGTCCTGCCTTTCTGGAGAGGCATTAGAAGACAGACCAGATAACCTAAACTGTCTCAAATAGCACTGAACACCTCTGCGTAGGCTTCAGAGTAGTTCCTGTGAAGTCCCACCAAGTTTTTGCATCAACTCCAGGTGAACTCTTTTGTTTGTTTCCTCTGACAAAGCAGTTTGAATTTCCTGAGCCATGTTGTGACTGAAGTGAGCCTTCATTAAGTTATTAAGTCGTCTTCCTGTGTGTGAAAGATGTTTATTGCTTGATTCCGTGTCTCGGAAACTACTTTGAAGTATTGGCCAGTATTTTGCTTAAGCTTATGATTATTGACTTTCCTGCCTGTTTCAACTGAATTTAAAACATCAAGCACAGAAGGCAGACATTTTATGATTAATTCAGCTTGCTTAGTTAGTCCATTACCAAATTTTCCATGAAGGCAATACCATACGCTGAGGAATTCAGTTTTCCCTCCTTGACTTGTTTCCTGGATCTTCAGAAAGGGTGGGTTTTTTTTTTAAAGCTGTCTCACTTATAGGAAACAACTTAGGAGGAAGTAAATTCTTTTTACCTCTTCCAGATCCTAGCATTAGACAATGCTAAGGATTGTCTGTGTAGAAAGGTGTCTTACTGCATATTCCCTGGTCCAGCTCCCAGTTGTTCTGCTCTCCATAAACACCCACCCTGGTTCACAGCTTTAAGATTATTTAAGATAAAGGTTGCACTGTTGCAAATGCATCCTACCATCTGGGCTTTTCTTCAACAATGTCATCCTGTGTGATGAATGCAATTTTAAATATCGTGATTTATTATGAGATGCAAGTTGTTCATAAAATTTAGGATTTCCTTAAAGTAATGCATCAGGAACCAGTACATGAATGCAGTGCAGGCATACGTGGATGTGGCATGTCCCTACTTTTACTGCCTGACTTAACAAAGTTAGCATCCATTCAATGCAGGGGTTTGTTTATACTCTATATGTTTCACTATGCTGTTGTCCTGGCAGAGAGAATTTTGTCCATCTCTGCAACCCTCACCTGGAGAAAATGGAAGAAGACATCCTGTACCATTTTGCTCTTGGGACTGGTACCCATGATTTTCCAGCATTGTTTGGAGATGTAAAGGTAAGGCAGTTGCTTCGTTCAGCCAGCCAGTGCTTTTCCATAGAAGGTGGAAGTGTAGCTGTCTTCAAAATGAGACTAAATGTGTCAACATACCACCAAATGAGGAGGGAATAGAAAGAGGATAAGCTTTTATGGGTTCTTGTCACTTTCAATATCAAACAAAATCTGGGATGATTGTTTCTTACTTCCCTTTTGTGGGGGGCCTTCAAATCAGTAGCTGTCTTTTACTAGTTTAAACAGGATGAAGGAATTTGAGTGGTATATAGAAGTGGGTTTTTTGTCAGTTTTTCTTCATGGCTTTTTAGAATTTTTATGAGAAGAATCACATCTGGTTCTGTTATCTGAAGGTGTTTGCATCCTTATATTGATCTCTACATGTTCTTTGATATAGTGAATCATGCAATTGATTTTGTTTTGTTGGATACTCTCCACCCCAGTTTGTATGTGTTGGAGGTAGCCCTTCTCGGATGAAAGCTTTCATAGCCTACATAGCTGAAGAACTGGAGCTTGGGAGCCCTGGTTGTGACTATCCTAACATCTGTGCAGGAACCGACCGTTATGCAATGTACAAAGTGGGACCTGTTTTATCTGTCAGTGTAAGTACCTCACTTACTCAGTTATGGGACACATATCGTAGAATCATAGAATATTTAGGGTTGGAAAGGACCTTAAGATCATCTAGTTCCAACCCCCCTGCCATGGGCAGGAACACCTCACGCTAAATCATGTCACCCAAGGCTCTGCCCAACCTGGACATGAACACCACCAGGGATGGAGCATTCACAACTTCCCTGGGCAACCCATTCCAGTGCCTCACCACCCTCACAGTAAAGAACTTCTTCCTCATATCTAACCTGAACTTCCTGTATTTAAGTTTAAACTCATTACCCCTTGTCTTATCTCTGCAGTTCCTGATGAAGACTTCAGTGATACTGTTCAAAGTAGAAAGTATGAAGGCATATTTCTTTTAAGCACTTAGTAGATGGAGTCATGTTTTCACATTTCTACCAGCAATGCTCAAAATAGTGCACTCAGCTACTTAGGATTCTTTTTTAGCCCTTTTTTTTGTGAGAGGGCAAATCTCAGAGACCTTCATTCCTTTCTTGCCTCCTTTTCCTCCCATGTACCACAGAGGTGTTAAAGGAATGACCTTGTAAATTTTTTGAGTAGACTTCCTATTGCCTCGTCCCTTGTTCAGTGTCCTGAATAATATGGGGAAAAACGTCACTCACTTGATGTATGTGGGATATCGGAAGAATTGGCTGTATCACATCCAGTGGCATTGTCCAGTGTGCTAACATAACTTAAGAGTAGCATTCCATGGGACTTGGAATGCATGCATGAGCTGCCAACTCATATATGCATTTTATAATGTCACACCTTTAATTTGTTGATACGATTGCATACTTCAATTGCATAACTGTAGTATCATCCTACACCCTCTCTTTTGAGTTGTAATTATTTCTTTATCATGCAAGTTAAAGTGAACTTACATTTGCTGAATTTTGTGACTAAACCACAATGTCTGTACTTTGAAAAAATAAATAGCCTAACTATTCATTAGCACTTCAGGTTTTTGGTGTTTAAGAACAGTTCTGTGATAAAGTGCATTTATCAGCCATTAGGAAAGGACCCTGCTTATACTTTCGAGAATGTATGTATTTTATATAATTCATGATTTTTAGAAATATTATGCTTCATCTGAGTCTACCAAAGCCAGTGTGAGGCTTTCTGTTTCGTAGGCCCAGAGCATAGGGGTTTTGTCAGAATGAGTTAGGAGACATCTGAAAAAAAGTAATTAGGAAAGAGATAGTCCCACTCCTTCTTCCATATATATTTTGTCTTGTCTACGTGCATGCTGAATATGAATTTCTGCTTTCATTTCAGCATGGTATGGGCATTCCTTCTATTGCAATCATGTTGCACGAGCTGATCAAGCTGCTGTATCATGCCAAGTGTTCCAACGTAACCATTTTTCGCATTGGCACATCTGGTGGAATAGGTATTTCCCCTCTTGACTTCTTTCTTTCTTCAAACTAAATCGTGTGTAGGAGAGTAAAACATCTCACTACAAGTAAGTAGTTGATGGTCAGAACAATTTTCTGCAGGAGATGAATCATTTTTCTTCCATAATTTTGAAAGAAAAAAACAGTATCTGCCTCTGGGCAAAACACACTTAAGTGGTCTGACGTTGTGAGGAGGAAGACATTTCTGTCCTGTATGAAAAAGATGAGATAAGAAAGAATATAGAGTGAAAAAGGTAAAATTTAATTATTTCAGAAATTATTTGTAATAATGCAATAAAACATCTAAGCATGCGTAAAAAGTCTCTTGGTGAATTCAGGGGCAAATCTGCTGCTTTTAAAAGAAGCAGGATTGGCTCAAGACTTGTGTTCTATGTGTGTGGAAACAAAGCATTAACTACACTATGAAGCTATATTTATTTTCACTGCAGGTCTGGACCCAGGCTCAGTGGTTATAACTCGAGAGTCTGTAGATGCCACCTTCAAGCCTCAGTTTGAACAGGTTGTCCTGGGAAAGACTGTAATTCGCAGTACAAACCTAGATGAACAGCTAACTAAGGAACTGATGCAGTGCAGTATAGAAATTGGTCAATTCCATACAGTCATTGGAAACACAATGTGCACTTTGGATTTTTATGAAGGTAAGACTGGTGACAGACTAACAGAAGTATAATGATAAGCAGTAACAGTTGAATATCAAATAGTATTTTCAGTATTATTTTAAATATTGAGTAATGATTAACATTAAGGGTCCTGTTCACTGAGCAGAACACATTCTCTACTTTGAGCTGACTTGTCAACCGCAATGAACCTATTTTTCCTACACCTAAGATCAAACATTGTGCTTAGCAGTTTGCTGTATCAAATTTTTAATTTTATGGAAGTTTATTTCCCCCCACCTCCAATAGATCCTCTGAAATACATATAGTCTAATACACGCTTTTCATGTACTTGGCAGTTAGGTGTGTTTTCCACAAAATTCCTGTGGCTTACCAAGGCATCCTAAGAGGGTTAGAGGAGTGAGAATTATTTGTGGCTGTTTTGGGCTTCTTTTATTTGGGGGAGGGAATGGTAGTGTTTGGGGGGTTTTTGCTCATTTGTTTCACACTGGTTAGGTATCTAAAGTAAATATTTCTAAAGGAAGTGCTGGGACTTGTTTCCCATTGTGCATTTTGAGAAAAGTGATGATCAGATAGCTGAAGACAATATTTTGCTGAGTTGTGTCAGTGCTGCCATGTAGGAGGGGCAAAACTCCAAGGCTTACTTTGGATAAACATGGAGATACTCAGGTGCTTTTCTGATTTCCCAAGCCTGTTCACAAACATCTTTCAAGCCTTATGAGAGCAGAGTGTAGATGGCACCTGGTACTTCTGTCTCTAGGTGTTACTGAGTAGGTGACAACAGGTGCAACGCAGAGGGAACGCATGGTCCTCATGATAGTTCTCAGGCTTGTTCAGAAGCAGACATAGTCAGTTTGTGTGTCTCCTTAAGCACCAGTCGCAGGTGCAAGCAATGCTAAAAAAAAGGTGTCAGGAGTGTTTTTAACTCATACAGCAAAAACTGAGGGCAAGCTCACGGGCATTAATTTAGGAGTACATCTCCTGAAAACAAGAAGGTATGAGGTAAAACTAATTTAACTTTACTGTGCATATGCTGCCACTCTTTTCTCTGTCTTATTCTTGAGCAATTTTAATAATTTGTCTCAAAACCCCTGTAATAGTATTAGCTAATTAGCTTAAGATTTTCTTCATCTCTTACCTTAGAGAGTCTGAAACTAATAAAATGGTCAGCTTTTAAGGTAGCATCAGGAAAGCATTTTCAAGGCTGACGGTTCTTCTAAACAATGAATAAACATAGAAAAAGTGCATATAGTTTTCATATAGCTTAAAGTTTGTTGATGAATTTTGACTCATGTTGAAAGTGGGGGAATCCACTACTTATATTTTCCCATTTATGAATTTGAGAATTTAAGCTGGAGAAGACTAATTAAATTGTTAGTATTCACATTACAAAAAATACAGGTAATATGTAGAAGCTCTAGGAATAGCTGACAATCACTTTGTCCTGTTTGTCTTGAGAATTAAAATGGAGAGTGCTAGTAAAAGCTGGACAATGTATAGGGGAAACTGCAATAATTATGTGTTTTAGAAACAAATTGTTCTGTGACTTCATCACACTAAAAATTCCTACAAAATTACTTTGTAGGACAAGGCAGGTTGGATGGTGCAATCTGCTTATACAGTGAAGAAGAGAAACTGCAATATTTGAAGGAAGCTTATGATTCTGGTGTCAGGAACATAGAGATGGAGTCTTCCGTTTTTGCTGCAATGTGTAATCTCAGTGGTGTTAAAGGTAAACTAACTTAAAGTCACTTTATTCAAGTTACAGAAAGTTTTTTTGCATTGCAGGGGGTTTGTGGTAAAAACTGTGAATGAGTTGTTAATGTACCTTCTGCATATAAAAAAAATCAATCCTTGTTATAGTTTTGTTGCTATGATTGTTTCATTTGTATCATATGTATTCATAATTTATGCAAACTTCCTCACGTAGTTTCTACACAGTTTAATTCTGTCATTTGCTATTCCAGCCGAAGGCAAGCACACAAATAATTAAAGTACCTAATTATCCTATAGTATTAATTTGTTTTCTTCAGTTAGTTGTTGAAGTTCAGAGGAAGCAACTGGTTAACTTAGGCAATGGGGTGATTCTCATATACATAACACTAATATCACTTTCTATAATTTAATAAGAAAATTGAAAATGTGAGTATTTTGTGTAGACTTACAGCTTTAATTCTTAAACAGTTGAAGACTCTCAGCAGCATTATGAATAAACCATTCCTAATCATAAACAGAGATTTTAATTTTTTTACATGAGCTAACTAATTTTCAGGAAAGATTATGGGGAAAAAAAATAATTACCAAACAAGCAATTACAAATAATTTAATGCAGTGCCTTTCTATTTACCGTGTTAACTGTCCTCTCTCACTTTCCTTGGCAAAGAATTCACTTCTCTTGGCAAGAAGTCTCCTAGTTTAAAACACCAGTGTTTCTTAAACTTCCTTAAACTCAAGGAGGATGAAAAGAAAAAGAAGCAAAAAGGCCAACAGTTATTTCAAGCATCTTCGTTTCTTACTGACCTGAGAGTGACCAAAAAGAACCAACTCATGCTATTATTGAGTCATTAGGGAGCCTGGTCCTTTTTGCTGTCTCTGCTTTGCAGGTCTTTAATATCTATTACTGCTTGTGCTCTGTAAATTGTCACTAGCAGAAATCCCAGGTACAGAAGGGCTCAGCTTGAGTAAAAGGAGGAGGGATAGTACCTTTGGGGCTTTGATCACCAAAAGGCAGCAGATGAGCCTGAGATGACCCATGAGATCCTTATATACTTGCAGTGCTCCCCATCTATGAATGTCAAAGTGGCTCATCTGCTGGCTCCTGAGGAGTGGTATCTACAGTGCAGGGATCTGGTAGATAGCAGAGGCCTGTAACTACACCTGCTAGAATAGTGTTGCTGTTTACCAGTCAAGTCCTGGGTACTTGTGAAATATAATTTCTACCCAGGAAAACATAAGAATCATAATACAGGTATCTTCAGCTACCTGAGAGCTCTTGCTTTACTAGTATAGCAATCAGTTGTCTTAATCTTTAACTTTTTTATATCACCCAAAGGATGCTAGTCCCAAAGCATCTTGTGGTACTGCATGCTGTGTTTTGGGTTTGTTCTCTCACATTTCCAATATTCTAGCTGTTTGTTCAAATGTTTATGATCTTGAACTGTAGAAGTGCCAGAATGTTATTCCTAATTAATACTCTCTTTTAATTTCTAGCTGCTGTAGTGTGTGTCACTCTTCTGGATCGGCTTGAAGGGGATCAGATTAGTAGCTCACATGATGTACTTGTGGAGTATCAGAAAAGACCGCAGAAGTTAGTGGGATATTTCATTAAGAAAAGTCTTGGGAAAGTATGAAATACCCATCTTTGTTTTATAGAAGCAGAAGGCTTTTGCACAGCTGAAGTCATGGTCACATCTTCTGTGCATTAAAGGTATTTTGCCTCAGAACACCTTACAGCATTCCTTGTGTCAAAGTTAATCATTTATGTCAGTGTTTTTTGGGAATGGACTTCAGTTAAGTTTTGCTTAGTTATGCATTGCTGGATTTAAGACTCGCTTTTATGTGAACTGGAAAGTGGGTCTGTTGTGAAGGACAAGCCTGCTATAATATATTAAAAAGTTTTATCTCTGCTGTGAAAGAAAAACTAGGAAGTAAATCAAACTTTATTGCCAATTACTTGCAAACCACCAAATTAAAATTAAGAATGCTAGTTCCTTTCTGGTTGTTATAAAAATTATATAAACTTTGTTGATTCACTTTTAAAGAAAAATTAAAGTGAATGCAATTTATTTTTTGCAAGCTTTGACAAATAATTTTATTTTCATATATTAAAATCTAACGAAATTTAATGAAAGTGTGGGACTGAATTTTCTAAGCTTGACACTAGGCTGCTGAATATCTGTATTTCCTAGATACTGATCCAACAAGATCATTCATACCCTATTTCAACTACATGATTGAATCAATACCCAGGAAACATTTATGGGTTAAGTAACTTTGCTTTGAAGAACTTGAAATCTTTTGCTGAAGCAAGGCTCCTGCCTACTGAAGAGGAAACAGAGGCATTCAGGAGATGCAAAGCATGTTTTTAATTTTACCCTGTTTCTTTTAAATTCCCTGCAGGGATGTCTTACACTAGACCACGTTGCCCAAGGCTCTGTCCAGCCTGGCCTTGAACACTGTCAACATGGAGCATTTACTACTTCTTTGGGCAACCTGTACCAGATAAATACATAGTCAGCTAAAGAAAAAGCCATTTATCACTCTCTCTCGCTCTGTCTTTTTAAACTTCTACTAGAGTGGAGGGTCCAGTTCTAGCAGGAGTCACAGGTCAAAAGGGTCTGAATAAACTCTCACTGACCCAGCTAAAAGAGATTTTTCTTTTCGAGAAAGATAACATCTGTTAACAAGCATGAGAATTGGATCTGAGAGGGAGTGATGTAGTTGTAAGCACATTCACCAAGAAGTGTCAGAAAGTGGAAGCAATATGATGAAAACATTAAGAAAAGGAAGGGATGACTTGGAAGCTGCCAATGAGCATTAATCTCGTTAAATTTGTTTGATTTTTCAACTGGAGAAAAGCTAAAAATAATTTTTTTAATTTACTAATTTAGTCTTCCTTTAATTTTAGAAACACATTTTCTCATTTATGCTCAGGTTATACAATGAAAGTAAGTTTTCAGAGGGGGCCTTTTTTTCTCTGTAAACTAAAGGGAAGGAGTCAGGTGGGAATGGCTCCACATTTAAACAAAATGGGAACAAAACTGCTTCTCCCTTATTTCTAATTAAAAAAATTAATTAATAATATGTGCTTAACTATGCCTGGTGCTTTCTTGGGCATTTCAAAAAGCCCTGTGAAGTCCCTTAGGAAACAAGCAGCAAAGCACATCCTTTCTCTACTAACTCCTGTTTCCAGAACAGGAGCAAGGAGATAAAAAGATCACTTAATAAGCTGCTTGCTGCACTCTAGGCTAAAGAACAGCTTTACCAAATTGACCAGTATGGGTTCAGAGGAGACAGTTTGCTGCTGTAAATGAAATTCTTACTATTAGTTACCTAAAGAAGAGAAAAAATACATTACCAAGAGAACAAAAAAACCCCACTTAATGTGGCTCTGTGAAGCTTTGGGGAAATGTATTATGGCAGCTGTCCTGGAGATATGAATCTGAAGTGGTGTGATTCGTCCTTTTAAAGGAAGGAGAGCAAGAATCTGGAAACTGGTTAAAAAGAAAAAGTACTTTTCTTACAGCTGAAATGTTTTTATTCTGTGTTCCCTAACAGATGGAGTAAAGGGATGTATGACAATGTAAAATTAGAATTCAAAGGAGACGAAGTATTCTGTTTATACTGGTCACTATCCTGTAATGCTGTATTGCTAATGCAAGAGGGTGCTCTATTGACACATCTTACGTGCAATGAAATACTTTTCTTAGCTTCAGAGGAAACTAGTCAGAATGTTACCCTGATAAGAACAATTGTATTTTCCCTTGTGACTGCAACTGGACAGAGAGATAAAGAAATGAGTCAGCTTTGTGCATCCGGCAGTGAGGTTGCTTTCCTGTAAGACCATAGACAATTATATAATACTGGTGCGGCTTTTATATGCTGGTTCAATTGATTTATATATCAGTTCTTTAATATTAGCCATTCACATTATTTCTGTAGAACGTGAATCAGGATTTGGAGTGGTAATATTTTAAAAAGCATATATGGAATCATAGAATAGTTAGGGTTGGAAAGGACCTTAAGATAATCTAGTTCCAACCCCTCTGCCATGGGCAGGGACACCTCACACTAGACCATGTCACCCAAGGCTCTGTCCAACCTGGCCTTGAACACTGCCAGGAATGGAGCATTCACAGTTTCCTTGGGCAACCCATCTGGTGTTTACCCTCACAGTAAACAACTTCCACCTTAGATCCAATCTAAACTTCCCCTGTTTGATATTAAGTTTGATATGATAATTACATATATGTTCACTATTACACAGGACAGTGTCTCCTGGTAGGTCTACAAATCCTGCAAGCCCTGGAAACCGATTTCCAGTCAAAAGCTTGTTCTGGTTCTCTGTGCCACCCTGTACATAGCAGTACACCACAGAATCAGTTTACCCCAGAGATTAGAAGGGATAAAAGCAAAGCAGGAAGGTAGAAGATATAAATAGGGTAGAAATGTGAAGGGAGAAAACAGTGGTTTCCACCAATAGTTTGTTCTGTGATTCGCGGTGTTCTTCTGGCCTGTTCCTTCCTTTTTGTTAAATAAATGGTTGTGACTGTAATGAAGGTAGGTAGAATGCATTTGTTTCACATATGCAAGAGAATGAGAATATGCAATAACTTGAGTAGTGACTTGAAGGAGTGGATTTTTATTTTTGGCATCTTGATATATTTCTGAGGTTTTCTTTAATGGAAGGTATTAGAAATCCTGAAAAGAAATATTTTGGCATGACCTGTTGCTAGAAGCAGTCAGAGTATAAACTTGTTATCTGTCATTTAAAAAACAAACTAAATAGTTCATTAATTTCAGTATTTCATTAAAATATACACCTGTAATATGCAGTATCTTTTTAAACGTGCTTCCTAAGTCCATGCAAAGGATATTCAGTGCACCACGTAACAGAACTGGATTCTCTTCTCAAGTTCAGATCTCAATATATCCTAAATAAAATGTTTATACAATTGAATCAGGGATATATTTAATTTCCATTGACAAGAAAGGTGAAACTGGAGTGTGAATGTTTTTAGATTTGCCCATTCTCAGCCAGTTATGTTTTGAATGCAGCACTCAGTAGTGCAAGCAGCAAACTGGGCTTTGGGGACTGGATCTGCATGCAACACTGAATGCAAAAAGCACAGTAGTGTGATTTGATGACACTGTTATGGTTTGCTACAAGATGTTGAGGTTTGCTTTACCTGAAAGTTTCTCAGTCTTTAAGCTGGAGTGACTTAAATGCATGCTTCCTCTTTCTAAAATAATTGCTATTCAATATTATACTCCAGAGTATGAATAAAGTTAAAGTTTAAAAAGTCTTCTGCCTGAAGATAAAGGAGGTCACCGAACAGAGCAACATTAAAGCTGAAACTCTATGGTACAATAGTAGAAGAGTAGTGCTGACAGGAGCAACGCTTTTGCTCAGGCTACAGACAAAATCCAGCAGCAGAAAAAAGACAGAGACGGTTTTACATGACGCAGAAACCTGATTCCAGATGCTTCTTGTTGGTGCTGAGCTTGTAACTGTGAGAAAATGTTCAGTTTACTGTCAGCCTGTCTTCCTGCAAGAATAAAATTCCTAGAGCTGCCCAGCAACGCAAAGAAGCCACTGACCTCCTTGTGAGATTGGGTCTGCTTGTTTGCTCAGTGTGCAGCTCCATTTTATTAATAATAATCCTGTTATTTGACCTTACCCACAATTAACATTTTTCATCATATCCTAGCGTTGGCCACAGAAAGTGTCTTCCAGGAAAAAATGCTACTAATTGATGTCATCCTGAAGGCATTTTGTCTGCAAAACAGGTCTGTGCCTTGTGAATATTTACAAGTAGTACTCCTAATAATATTAAAAGGAAAGCCTTGTGATCACACAGCAAACCTTGTGAAAGAAATTGTGGGTGGTGATAGGAAAATATGCTAGTTTACCATATTCCCAGCCATAGTCTCATATGCATTCCTGTCTACCAAACAGTATTATTGGCTCCTGGGCTTTAACCTATTTAACATATAAAACTCTGTTTCTTTGAATGCATTTGCTAACAAAGTCTAATTAGCTAAAATTAAAACTGTAGGCTAGACATGGCATGTTGATGATGTCATGTTATAAAGCAGTCAAGTTTTAAAACCAGACATGGATGCTGGCAGAAAGTTCTCTGTATTTTCTGCCCCATTGTTTTTTGATATCTTGCGTTTTCTAAGAGTATATTTAAAATTGAGACAAAGCCTGCTAAAGCTAAGCAGGAGCAGGAAAGGGCAAGGTCACTGGCTTGTCCTCACTTGGAGACCCGAGTCTGAGCATATTTCTTTTTCTGTTTCAGCTGACAGCATGCTTTCAGTTCATGCTTTGTCTAGAAAGGTTGGACCAGATGATCCTTGAGGTCCCTTCTAATCTGGATTCTGTGATTATATGAAAGAGTAGAGCACATCATAATTAAAAATACGATCTTCTAATACCTGCAATATTCAAGATGTTGACTACAGCCACTCTGTTACGGAGACCTGAAAGCATATAATTTATTTGGCCTACCAGCAACTGTGCTGCATTTGAACCCTTTCAAGCTCTTTGTTCATGCAACTCCTAAACAAAGTTGCTATTTAAGGCTGGTACTTGCACAGGATACTGCTTGGCAGTGTACAGAGGAAAGCTAGATCAATCAGAAGAGCTTCAGGGTGGCAGCAGTACAGCTGACACATCTTTCAAAAAATATTCAGAACTGATCTGCTTTTCCTACTTGTGTAATATTATTGTGTCTGTTGTGCCAGGGGTTCGTTCTGGGGGGCAGGGAGTGGGGCTTTGATTTCCTATTTCTCATATTTCTGTAACATTGCAAATAACACAGTCAAGCTAATACATCCTGTTTCCTCTAAATCTACTTTTAGAAGTGATTTTCCAGAATGCCACTGCAGTGATTATTCTTGGTTGAATATTTTATGAGGCGTTTTTTACTTTCACAAGTTTTTTCTGGATAAAACAAGTCTACTACTGGAGAACACCATACTAGGCAAGAATGAATTTCTTTCAGAAAGGACAACAATGTATGAGGGCAAATGAAGTTAACTCACTGGTGAAAGGTGTTTGTCTATTGCATGTCTTAAATGGTAAAATTCATTAGTACTGAATACTAATTGCACACAAAGTAGTTG